CTTGTTGGTCATTGTGTCCGTCTTGTCTCCCTTCTGTTTCCTTTTGTCTCCCTCTTGTCTCCCTTTTTGTTGATGTCTCAAAAAGTGGACTTGGGAATGCTTCGTTGTTGTTTTATATGTTTGGGGTCTACGGTGGTGTAATGACATTGTAGACATTCCTTTGCTATGAAATTGCAGGCAGTGGAATGGTTGGGAGTGAAGAACCAGATGGAAGCTTTTCTTCGAAGTCTTTGGCCAAGAGACATTGAGAATCTTCCTCAAATGACATCATAGAGACCTGACGTGTGGGCATGAGCCATCATGTAGGTGATGAGTCATGAGTCATGAGGTCACAAAGCGCAGGCATGTCACATGGCTTTTGCACAGAACAGCCTATGTGTCCACACATCTAACTTTCAGAAGCTGACACAGAAACTGACAGATCACCACTTCCTGTGTTGTGTTAAGCATGTATGCATGATGGATTTACAAGGGTATATATTGCTACGTGTGGCTGGCTTTGCTTGAACAAGTTTTTGTTGACTGAAGTTGACTCCTTGGCCTGTTGACCATGAACTTAGGTGGGGCAGCTGGAAAGCGAGTAGCGTTGATCTCAACGTCAGGAGCTTGAAGCGGGAAGAAGCCAGAATGGTAAAGACCCCTTGTCACTGCCAGGGTTCTAGGAAAGAGGAGTAGAGGTGAGTAAAAAGAAAAGACGGAGCGAGTCGTATTGCGAGAAAGAGGAGAAGGAGGAATAGGACCAGAAGAAGGAGGAGGAGCACAAACACGCAAACACTTTGTGTCGTACTAATGTTGGTAGTAATGCCTTTGCATTAAAATTGTTCAATGTGCTGAGGATGGGTACTACAACGCCTCCGACGAGCGCCAACAAGGCCAACATTGCCGTGCATGGATGGAGTTGACTTTAGATTCTGTAATTCTTCAACACACACACACAGTCGCAAGATTGTTGGAATTAGGTACTACTCGGGTTGACCCAAAAGCATCATTCTGTCCAACAAAGGTTCCACTGATTTTGGCGCCGAAATACTACTCTCGTGTCAAGAACAACTTAAATTTTGTATTTGTAGAGAGCATGTGGCAGAGGGATGAGAAACAGTTATATCGGCAAGGCAATTCTCGTTGGTCGAGGGCTTGAGCACTTGCACCATGGTTTTCCAAGTGTGGGGTATTTTAAGGGACACCTGGGGACACCTTGAGTTTGCATGGGTTTCGACATGTGCTCGAACGAAGGATTCCCCCTCGGTTCTCGACAGGGCTGGAAGCGAGAGGAGACGTTTTCTCCTTGAACCGCTTTGCAAAAAGCATTCAATAGTCTAGTAACTTGCTTTCTACCAATAGCTTGCTACAACACTTAGCTACTAGCTGACTCCCTCTTACTTCTCAGTTTCCTCACGGCTGCCTTACATCCTACCCGAGAACATAACATTAAAAAGATTACACCGGCAAGGGAGTGTAAAGAACATCTTCCAAAACGGCAAGTTCATTGAAATACAAAACCCTTCAAGAACATCTGCACATCGAGATTCACGAGCACAAAATGAGAGCACACATATGAGAGCATATGGGAGCACATATGAGAGCACATGAGAGCACACATCGGAGAGCACAAATGTAAGAGCACATACAAGCACAAATCTGAGAGCACATAGGCGAGTACATAAGAGCATTTCGCAGTTGACAATGTACCGCGCCCTTAACTCTTACCGTAAGAACCCCTTAGTGCGGAGCACTATTTGGGGAAAAAACATACAAACGCAGACACAAGCAAGAAACACAAGTCTTTCAAGTGAGACTGAGGTGTTCTTCTACAAGCTCCTGGCAGAGAGCTATGTCTCTAGCGTGGGAGTGTCTTGGATAGTGTTGGAGGAGGTCTGAGGAGGCTCAATGGTTCGACTCAATGATGTACGTTTGCTTTTGCAGCCTTTAGCAAAGAACGCCAGCATCCCTCAGAAATAAATGCATCAAATATTTTTCTTTACTTGCAAGTTGCTGCGATGGTTGCAATGGTGGAGGCTTGGCCAGGCCAAGGCAGCCTCGGTAGGTTCAATGAGTCGTCCCTTCACTCCAAAGTTTCAGAATCAAGTTGAACTGAGGTGCCTTTTTCCATCGTGAAACCGTCTTTGTCTCAGTGTCAGACAGCGGGTACTCATTGATACCTCATGTGTATGTTCTTAGCTCTCGAGCCAAAACGCTTTTGCAACTATAGCGACAGTGGGCCTGCTGCTTTTGTTGTCTCGTGTGAGAGTGAGGGCGATCCAGCAAATATATATATATATATACATACTGTACACAGTAGAACTTCCTGGGGGGTGAGGAAAGCTGGGATCATCCCAAGAAAACAAAAAATAACAAGAGATGGAAAAAATAAGGTAAGGCCTCTTGTCCCCTTTTCTGCATTTTTCAGATTTTTGGCCAAGTCCGATTGGTGTTTGGCAGATTCCGAATCCAGGTGCGGCTTGTGTGACGATGCTGGAGGGGAACGCCACCTTATGGCTGGGCATGACGAGACTCGAAAGGAGTTTTTTATTTCCAAAGTGCATTGACTAAGGTGGGCATTGGCCGTTTCTTTTTTCCCCAAAATGGTGCCCATTGCTATGAAGAATACCTTCACTTCTTTATGGAGCACTCACCCGAGCAATCTATGCACGCGAGAAGTGTTGCTCTTTCTGTTACATTTTTGGCCTCCCATCTTTGATCTAATTTGCTTTACACTTTACACTACCTCAAGTAGACATGGAAGTGGACAATGGCCCCTTGGATGACCATTTTCCTCTACAAACAAGTGGTTTTTTCCACTTCGACCATTCTTTCAGGAAGTGTATAATGTTTCATACACCAACAATGTGGCCTTTTTCCACAATCGTTTAGAGCTTGTGGAGGAAGTAATTGCCACGAACAGTTTGGACAGGCTGGCCCAAGTGCAAGGCAGGCATGCAAAGAGATCCAAACAGAAGGGACTCGCGAAATGGATACTTACTTGGGCTGACGGTCTGATATAAACAACCATAAAGCCTTAGCAACATTTGTACAACTCGGCAACTAGAGTGGTGGCTTGTGGGTCATTTTGGTGACACACACACACCGGAGATGGGTGTGGCCCAAAAATTGTATCCAACCTGTCACAAGCTGTCACGGTCTCTCACGCTATCATTCCTGCCATGTGCAACCCACCAAGGACAGCGAAAATTGGTTTTCCGAGGGCTTCTACATGATTCCGCGTGCCTCAACAAGAACATGGATGAGGATAACAGATGGCCAAAACCTGTTCCACATTCGTCAAAGGATTGAAAGGATTGAGCGAAGAACTGAGAATCGGGATGAGAATGCAAGCAAGCACATCGCTATTCAGGTGCCGATGTTGCAAATGTGACCGCAATGGCCATGCTGCATGCACCTGCGGATGCAATGCGCTTTGATCTTTGCGCCAAGGCAAGTTGGACACAGACACCATACTTGTGTGGAATAGTTGGGAAGCTTTTCTTTCTTAGTCGCAGATGGTCACAGTAGGTCAGTGGAAGATAGGATAACTTAACAGTTACATGGTTATCAATCAGGTTGACGGTGAATGTGTAATGTGTGTTGATCAAGACCGGAGAGTCAATGAATGCAACACGCCCAGCACCAGGGACCTGCATCCGGATCTTCTGACTTTCAGGAGCTCTTGCAGGCCACAGTACTGCCACAGCTTGTTACGTCAATGTTTTGTGAGACTTTTCCGTGGGGCGGCTGATCTCTTTCTCACCAAAACTATTGGACACTTGTTTTACTTAAGTTTCCCCAAAAATCTAGGAACCAAGGGAATAGCGTGAGCTATAGCCTGCGTCCTACCTAGGAGCGTCCTGTACCTACTAGCTACCTCTCCCTTACTTGATTAAGTAGGCGCCTACTTAATTAAGTAGGGAGGGGGAGTGAGTGGGCAAAAAAATCCAACGTGAACTCGGAGACCTTCCTTCTGGTTTTGTGGGCTTCTCATTTTATGAGTCAAGAGTGGGAATCTCCGAGGCAGCTCTTCTTCCCTGGCAGCGTCAGCAGTTGGTCGTTTGAATGCTCCACACAGCTTTGTGGGTGGAATGGACATTTTGTCAAACTCAAATGGTATGATCTTCATGATGTGCTTTTGCAGTTATTTTGATGTGGCTTGTGGCGGCTTGTGGCTTGTTTGTGCACTGGTTCAACCAGAGAGAGTCGTCAGAGCTTAACATGGATGTCATGGTTTCACTGCCGGCGGAGCACTTGCTTTTCCGCGCTAGCGAAGCGCGCTTGTTTTTGCAAGTGCAAACCTTGCAAATCATGAGAAAAGCAAAAACAGTGGGTGATCTTGAATCTTGAGCTCATTTTCATGACTTCCAAAGCGCCACAAATGCATTCGAACGAAAGCTTTGTGGAACAAATAGGTCTGGGAGATCTTTGCCATAATTTGGTAAGGTGAAGTTCGGGCTGCTCGCTTCTCCCCAGATGGCAGCATGGTACTCACAGGCCAGATCAGCTTCAAGCCCAGTTTTCTCCGCAATTTTGCTGTCTTCTTCATTGCATCAATGACTAGTTGCACCATGTTAGGCCAAACTACACCAGTTGCACTGGTGCCAGATGTAGCAGCATTTTCCAGACAACGAGTCAGTATACTCAGCGTTGCCAACGTAATCAGTGTAATGCGTGCATCAAGCGTAGCCAGCGAGAAGCATCGCCACTGCCGCCCGCCCGTGGCTAAAAGTTTCCGAGCCCCTGCTGGCAGTTCTGAACTGTGAACACGGGCTGAGCTGATTGCACCGATTCCACCGGGTACACTGGCCTAGCATACTTAGCGCGTTGCCTGCCAGGGTGCCAGCGTCCGATCATTTGCAGATATGCTTTGCCATGCCGCTATCTGCTTCCTGGAAGAAGCTTGAGCTATCCTGCGTCCAGTAGCTAGTGTGGCTAGTTGGCCCTTACTTATAATTAAGTGGAGGCAGGGCACCTCGGGCAAAAAAAGAGAAAGGGATAACAAGACAAAACAGATACATAGTGAAGTACTACAGTAGATGGACCAAATATTCAAACCTATGTATCAATAACTGTCGCCAACCCCTGACCCCCAAAGGTCAATGTTGAACATAACTTGATTGAATTTGTGTTTCCAGGGTTTGATTTGTTTCGTCCATTCGCCGAAACATTCTTGCAAGACCTCCAACATTGAGCTTTGGGGTAGAAGGGGTCCACGTGGTTGAAAGGTTTTGAATATTTCGTCCATCTACGGTACTGGGTGTGGACGGCGACCGGAGACCTCACATGCGTGTGTTGTTTTCAAGTGATGCCGGGTGGTTCCAGCTACTGTTCTTACTGTTGCCATGTGCTGTGTCTGTTCCCAGTCCCTTTCCAGTGCGTTTCCAGTGCCTTTTCCAGTGCCTTTTCCAGTGCCTTTTGCACTTTCTCGTGGCCCTGCCAGCAAAAAAGTGTTTCTGGTAAGTTTTGTTGAAGCAAAAAGATAAGCTATCTTTTTTTAGCAAAAAAGTGAGTCACATGGCAAAATCACTGGCAGGCGCACACAAACCGTGAAAAGGCACTGGAAAAGGCACTGG